CACCCCTTTCCCCCCCCCCCCCCCCCCCCCCGAAAAAAAAGCTCGGCTGGCGTCACATCCACATGACGCTATGTCGATGAGAGCCGCAATGTGAAGACTGAAAATAACATGCCACCCCGACTTTACTATCAAGAGTGGAGTCTTATATCTTCTACAAATTCGATTTTATCATTTCTCTATCGAGAATTTTGATGGGAATAAAAACAAAAAACTCATTCATAATCGACTATCGGAGATTTGACCGCAGCAGAACTGATCATCGGGGACTCGACCGGCGGAAAATTTGTCGGCGACCATACGATCCTATATGCATTTTGTCTATTCCAGGAGGATTCTTTCCCTCGCTTAGCAACCCCCACTCCTCTTCCCTTCCTGTGATTTAACCCGACGATGCAAGTACACCATTCCAAAAAAAAGAGCAGCTGAGAAGCATCGTGCAGAGTGGAATCTCATCTTTCCTTCATTGCCTTGTCAAGACTCCTGCAGGAGTCCTCGCTTACTGTATGGCAATCGAAAGAAGGCAAAAGTAGCTTACGAATGGTATAGACTTTGCTGTGATCACAGAGGAAGTGCGTTTTTTCAAATGAGATATAAGAAATCAAGTTATGTAGTTTTCTGTAGCCCAAGGAAAAGTATAGTAATGCATGGTCTTGAAACTAGAGTTAGTATTGGATGTGAATGGAACCTTGAAAATTTGCACAAAATAAATGTACTTCCCATTGGTTCCTGGCTTATGAAACACCTATGAATTGGTATTGTTTCTGAAATGGGTATTTAGGCAGCATGCCCAGATTTATCTTGCAAGTACGTGGGTTGTCCGAAAAGTTCTCTGTATTGATTTTTAAAATGAGTTACACTTGATGAATCTGTATTAAATTTCGGCGAGCACTGGTTATATCTAATAGCATTCACTGTGCAAAGTTTGGTATAAATTTATCCAGATTTACGCTTGCTGCCGGATAATGCATACAGTCGTTATGGACGTCTCCGTCGTCCAAGAATGACTCTCGTAACATCGCATTCGAGTCATCATTGAGTTCCATGTTCTGCTCAGCGACACACCGACAGAGATCCATCAACTGATGTCGATGGCTTTGGGCCAACACTGTCCAGCTGACGAGACGATCCGGAAGTAGTCAAAGCTCTTCCTGGAGGGGACGACGGACCTTGAAGATGAGCCATGAAGTGGGCCAGAGGAAGACCAGAGGAAGACCCACTTTGTTGCGACCTTCATCTTTCCCAGCTCTTCAGTGACGATGCGATGAGCGGTATCGGGTGAGACGTCCAGCTCATAAGCTTTTGGTCTGGTGGTGATTCGGCGGTCTTCTTGAAGGAGGTCGGTGACTTACTGGACTTCATGTTGGTGTTGAAGCAGAAACTGGTCGCCCACTTCGTGGCTCATCTTCAAGGTCCGTCTTCCCCTCCAGGAAGAGCTTTAGCTACTTCCGGATCGTCTCGTAAGCTGGACAGTGTTGTCCCAAAGCCATCGACGTCAGTTGATGGATCTGTCGGTGTGTCGCTGAGCAGAACATGGAACTCGATGATGACTCGAATGCGATGTTACGAGAATGATTCTTGGACGACGGAGGCGTTCATAGTGACTGTATGCAACATCCAGCAGCGAGTGTATATCTATATAAATTTATACCAAACTTCGTGCAGTGAATACTATTAGACATAACCAGTGCTCACCGAAATTTAATACAGATTCATCGAGTGTAACTCGTTTTAAAAATCAATACAGAGAACTTTTCGGACAACCCTTGTAATGACAATTTAAAGTGGATCCAAGATTGTCAGATTTTAAGAACCATCATATGCAGTATGACTGGCAGTTTTGCTTCTTGTCTAGCATGGAAGAGTGCAGGTGCTGTGGTCAAACTGCTGTAGTGAAGATCCACTCTTGTCTTCAATTGCATCGAACCTTCTTGTTGAAAGCGTCAAGGCAGGAATCCTTCAGTACTCTTATGTCCTCAATGGCTTCCTCTTCCGCATCAAGAACTCCAAGTATGCCTCTATTTGTTGGATAGGTCAACGAGGTTCAGTTACCATTTTTTCAAGTAGTCTTCATATTTATGATCCATACTGTACTGGTGCTGGTGCCTTGATATCTATATGAGGGGTGATCAAAGAATTCCCTGACAGGTTCTAAACTAATTTATTTTATGATCATTGGGTCTTGGGACTGCATGTGTAGAGTTATTTCTAGATTATGATTTTCTCTTAAGCTTTTAAAATATTGAAAATATGAGTGACTTCCTTAGCCTCAAGTGACAAAATGACTGGGATGTTTTTCAGCATGCCTTGAGTTTCTTGGTGCATTAATTTATTATCACACAAAATTTAATGACTGTCTGAATTTCAAATTTGATTTTCATTAAGTAAATTGTTCATTTGTGGTTCAAAGACTCTCTCAAAAATCCGGGAGAGAAAAAGAATACCAATAATTAAGTTTTGGTTATGAACTCCCAAGACCAAATTCTCCACAAGAAGTGGCATCTTTACATCAAAGAATGAAGATGCTTGAGAACTACTTCAAGGACTTTTAGATCTCCCCTTAAATGTTCTTATGTTATGAGGCTGCAAAAAAATCTCCAAGCTCACTGACTTCAGGAAAGTTTCCACTAGAAACTTTTATGAACTTCATATCTTTCCAGTCTTATTCAATAATTTGTGAATACAATTGGTTTGTCCAAATTTTATGGAAGGTAAAGAAATTACAAAATTTTTGGGGTATGCAAGAACCACATACTATCTCCTGTAAGTGATGAAATCTTTTGTGATTTGTGATAGGAACAATCGACATGCCCTGAATGGATTTATGCAATTGCTCACCCTCCCTGGTTGCATGGAATTAATGGGCTCTCATGGTCCCACTTCTCATCCATTGGTTATTGTTTTGAGAAACTCCCCATCACTTGCCAATCCCATTCTGGGTCACATCAAGGACCTCCTTCAAACATCTCTGACCTGGTAAGTCTGCTCCCTACAGATATTATATGTGCTTGAAAAATGGGCTTACATTCCAGTTTCAACTGGGAAATCATCAGCCCCTTATTGGGATTGAGGCAATGTTCCTTGCATGTAAGTATATGGTGTGCTCACTTTTAAATGTTCTGTGTCATAATAATGATTGATATTTGGACATTATTAATGTGACATGAGCCATTTTCAATATTCAGCTTTCGTATTCAATATTCTGAAATAATTATTCAAAGCCTTTCATCACTACAATGAAAGTGAATTAAATTTCATCAGTTGGAAATATATTTATCTATGTATAGTGCAAGTTTTAAGAAACTAGCTTCAGTTTGAGTAGGATACATGAGCTAAAAGTTTGTTTTTTTCCATGTCATTTATAATGTGCTGCATGGTTTGAATGGGAAGGAAGGTAGTCAGAGTCAACTTTGACTTGAAATGGGTGCATATTGATAAAGTGAGTCTCCATTCTAGGTAATTCTTTTGACTGCTATTACACTATTCACAGCCAAGTCCTAAAACATCTTGCATCCTTTGCTATGTATGGCCAAGAATTTCTCTAGATTTCAAAAGGAAGATTACTGAAACACATTGCAAACCTGAAGACAAGCAGATTCAGTTGAAGTCTCTCTTTTGGGAGGCAATTAATTGTTTTGAAGTGACCATGGGATTGTTAGTTTGAGGTTGCTGGAGCCATTTCTGCTTCATGTGCTCTGTGATCCGGAACCTGTGATGGAACTGCAAGTCCTGAAGACCCATCTTGTGATGCCCATGCTCCATTCAGCATCCTCAAACCCCAGGCTCAAGATGCTTCTTCTTCATAGCCTCAAGTGGCAACAGGTACTTTTTTTGCAGAGTAAAATTTCATGAATGAGAAATGGTATCCTTGATTGACATCCTTTTGAAACACTGGGTCTGGAAAATTGGCTGTGTTTTGGGAAGGATATCAGGATGGTGTTTCAGCCTAGAGCAGAGAATTTTAAATTTACCATGCTGTTCAGAACATCATATTGGTTGTTGAAATTCAAGTTGCTTTCAAGTCTGGGAGAGCAAGTCAGACAGACAGTATAACAATAATGCTCAGATGTTTCCTCATTCAGGGTATGCCTCTGGTGAAAGGTAGGGTATATTTTTTGAAGGGTTCCTTGAGAAAAAACTGATTGATATTCATTGGAAATTTTTGGAAAGGGAGACGATGACAAGCCAAGTAATGCTTCTTTCTGCCTTCACATGGTCCTCTGGGCCATTGCTTGAGTTACAGCATGGATTACTAAAGGGATTACTGTTGAGTTTTGGTGGACTTCTTTGGCAATAATTACAAAGACAGAATGTTAATCATTTGTCTGATGATCTGCATGAAGGCCCAAGGAGGAAATTCACCAGATAATAGAAATTATGTACTTATGATTATAGGGTACTCAGCTTTTTTCAAGACAGTGGAGGTTTAATTGTTGAATATTGAAAAGAGGGCAGTGATAAGGTTTCTTTCTCTGGCAGGTGATGCCAAAAGAGTTAAACTGCCCTGTGGTGTTTGTCCCTTCATGACAAAGGCTTTTAGATCTCCTCTTGTAATAATGCATCGGTTATTTTATTCCAGCCTATTACATCTGGGTCAAATAGATGATGGAATGAAACTATTTTGTTTCAGTGGCAAGAGCGAAATCCATTATTATTAGGCTTTGAAATTTACAAATCTGAAGAGAGCAGGCCTAGTTTCCTTTTACTACCATATGGTCACACTTGAAAGCAAATTATATATCAGAATTAGGTTGTTTTTTTTACATCCAAGAGGAGACAGTTTACCAGAAAGGAATTATCACTGCTCACCATCTGCAAGCCTCTGAGGTTGCAAACTCTTGAATCACCTTATTCAATCTTTGAATTATATGAGCATACTTAGATAGTTACTTGTAAATATCTAAGTATCTGAGTAAAAGGAAGACTGCAGTCTTCTTTTTTTGGTTATCATTTCAGTATGCTTTTCTCAAATTTTGTCATCCTGCATTAAAATGTGAAGATTTTTTCTTATAGACAATGCAAGGAAGCCTGGAATCAACCATGGATTTCCTTCAGCTCATGTCCCAATGGTGTGTAGAAGAAGATGAGGAGTGGAATGAGCGACTCTACCCCCTCCAGGTCATCCTTTCCCTGAGGGCATTGAAAAGTGGATTTGACCCTTCACAATTCCTCCAGACCATGCTAAGGAACCTCCAATTCTTGAGGCCTGGGAAGGAGGTGGAGGTGACATACCTCCTGATGGCTGAGTTCCTCCACTGTGCCCCACCCAGCCTTACTGCACGAATCCTTCTTATCTGTGAGTGAAATGCAGAAGTCTGCTAGAAATCAAGAGTAACTTTGAGTGCATGAAGGTAAGAATAGCAAATTATCCATGAAAAAATGTTCACTCTCCAATGATACATCCAATTCTTTTTGAGCCTCTTCCTCTCCAAGCCTGCATTGCAAGTTACTACCATGTCTAAGATCTCATCTCAACTGTCCCACTGTCAGCATTGGGCTGTGAGAACCAGTACAGCAGAGATGGTTGAACCAGACTTCCTAGAGTTTTGAATTGAGTCTGACACACCATCATTTTGACATTATACTCGTATATCCTGTGACAAATCTTGTGACTTTTGACTTGCATGAAGTAACCTTAGTCATTGGCAGAGCTCTTTGCTAAGGGAGTGGCATGAAAGCTATGAATTTCGATATTTATGTATTTTTTATTTTTTATTTTCTTGGGTGTACTTGTAGCTATATCAGAATAAAAATACTTTGATTGGCAAATAGAATCAAGCTGAAAATCTTAGATTTAATGGCTGATTCCTTATTTGCAATCAGTGCAGTTTATGCTGCTCAGAATTTTTATGAGAAGCATGAATATGACCCTCCTAAGCTAAAATTTAGACTTAAATTTTGTTGTTTCAAAATGATCTATTTCATCATTCTGTGCTAAATTTAATTGCAGCTAAGGTTTATGGCATCTCTTCTGAAAGCTTGCATTGAGATTTATAATCCCTATGTTCTTGTCTCTCCCCTGCATACTGATTGTCATATTCAAATGAGCCCAGGTTTGAAAACTGCTTTGAAAACTAAAATGTGTCTTTCAAACTTAATTGGTCTTTTCTTATTTTAATTTCATGGTTTAACCCTTTCACTGGTACCCCTGAGAAATTCTTGGGCTGACCTTCATTGCCCAAGGCAAACTTGTATCTCTAGACTCACCAGTGAAAGAGTTAAGGTAGTTTTTTTCTGACATTAACATACCCTTTACCAAAACCTCTTGCAACTTTCTGATATCCATTCTTGATGCCTGTTGCATAAAGGTGCTCTAAGTACTCATTCTCCTTGAGGGGATGAGACCTGATGAGTGAAAAAAAATTTTGGCTTGAATTTAGACTAAAACAGAATCTGAAAATCTCTTAAAGTATAGATATTCAATTTTGCCTTCATTGTTTGGATGGCATTTCTCATAGGTCGAACGATGCTAATGCAGGGAAAGATCTCTGGGGCAGTGGCATGCTCCATCATCCCCTCCTTGCTCCAACTCATATCTACCACTTCTCCCTTTCTTTCGGAAGAACAAATCCTTGCCCGGGACCTTATTGCTCACTTGGGGATGCTTCAGACCTGTCCAATCGCAACTCATGTGCTGTTGTTGGATGACTGGATGCTCTTTGATCCCCTTTACACCCAAGCTGTTCATGCTCTTCACCTGTTGTGCCACTACAAGTCTGCCTTGTCGCTAAAGGATGCATTGGGAAATCCTTTTATTCCCTTATTGCTTGGAGGGTGGGTTCACTTTGAAGGGGCATTGGCAGGTGAAGATGCCTGGAAAGTCCTTGTTGAGGCAGGGAAATTGGATCCCAAGCGTGCTCTTGACCTCCTCCCATTGCTCCTCTATCATCTCAGCAAGGAGGGGCAGCCCCAGCTGCGCCTTTGCATTCTTCTTCTCCTCCCTTCCCTTGCTGTTCACAAGGTCATACCTTCTATTTTTTATTTTTCTATTTTAGTTCTGTATTTAGCATTGTTCTTTCTCATGCTGTCATGAGATTTCACAAAAGGGAGCTCAGATTTTTGCACAAAAGATTGGGAATCATTGATTCTTCAGCAATCATCTTCATGCCTGCTTCCATGTTTTTCTAACCTTTCAGATACCTAAATTGAACTTGTACTATCAAGACCTAAGGAGGGGGGTCAGAAAATATTTAAATTGTATGTGAGTCTTGCTTTAAAGTTTCCTCTCCCAAAATTGCAGGCATGTGTGGGTCCAGTTCTACAAGTGATCCAGGGCTTGTGGAGGACCAAAAGCCTTCAGCCAATTGCCTTTAAGCTTTTTCATTCCTTGTGGAAAGTGGAAAACCGATGCTATCCTTACCTGGAGAAGGCACTCTTGGAGGAGGCATCTGGATCCTCTCTCACAGCTGGAATTAGCGAGTTCCTCCTCTCCAAAGTTATTGTCATCAGAGACATCTGCTTAACTGAGTATGACATCTTTTCTTTATTTTGTTTTGCATTTTTGGAATTTTGAACCTTATGATTCTCATTTGTGATAAGTTTGGAATACTTAGGAAAAGAGGAAATCTTGTACACGTCAGTGTGTACCATGTGAGCATGTGTGTCACACTCATGCTTTGCTCTCCATCCTTAACTTTTGCCAAGAATTTTAGTTTCAGTGGGATGATGTAGAAATGAAGAAATTAATTTTTTGGTAACCTTATATTAATTATATAAAGAAGAGATTCAGAGGTTGTCTATAAAACCAAGTCTTGTTCTAGCTCTTTTTGTTTTTACCCTTATGTGAATGGCACCATGGAACTCATGAACTTTGGTTGTTAACATTTTAAATAGATTACAAAATATCCATCTGACTGATCATTCTTTTCTTCATGTGAGAAGCCCTTTCTTGTCACTGTTAACCATTTTACTTTTGAATAGGCCCAGCAGGCATGGATCGGTTTTGGTAGCCCCATTGTCACAGATCATCAATTTGAGCAACAGTGTGGAGATGGCTGGGGTAGCAGGGCTGGCCTTGGATGCAGTTTCCCACCTTTGTCGCCAGGAGGTAATTGACATCCGCACCACCTGGAAGATCCTTGCCTCCAAGCTGACCAAGGACTCTCGTCCTCTTGTCACCACCAAGTCTCTTTCTTATACAGCACACCCTAAAATTTATTCTGTATATAATAGAACTGGACCCATTCATTCATCTTTATTGCTTGTAGGCTGATTGAGATGCTGTCTCTGGTTCCGGAATTGCATGTCCCAAGTCCTGAGTTCCAGAGGTTTACTGAGAATATCCTTGCTGTGCTCTGGAGGTATACTGGGAGTCCTGACCCATCCATCACTGAAGCTGCTTTCAGGTGTAGTGAGATTCTGCACTTCATCAGACACATTACCATTCTGCCACTGTCTATCCCAAAAGAGATGACCCTTAGAGAGGAAGATACAGTGTTGGGGACTAAATAGACTATAAGAAAAATTTGAATCTGATTCAAGTCCATTTTCTTTTTTTTGGCTATTGACATATTCATGGACTATATTATTCATCAAGGTTTTATGCTCTCATAATGCTACTATTTAAATAGTCATGGCCACATATAAATTAATGGCATTATACAGGGTGTCTTCAAAGTTTGGTAGCACTTTCATGACCATTGCTGAATTTCCCAAATGGCAACACATTTTTTTGCTGGACAGAAATAGAAAGCATTAAAAAATCAGAATTCAAATGAATTCAACATGGTATTCATCAGAATCTGCACATTTGACCCAACTAAACAAAGTTTTTTTTTTTACTTTTTCAAGTGTCTCTTCTGAAATTGCCTAAATCTCAGCATGAATCCTGTTCTTCAGCTGATGGAAGATCTCTTGGCTTGGTATAGTAGACAACTATCTTCAAATGACTAAGCAGGAAAAAATCCAGTGGAGTCAGGGGATCAGAGATGCCACCCCAAATAGTCATGATAGCCAACCCACTTATTGGGAAGTTTTTCATTCAAAAATTGCCTTACAGTCAGAGAGAAATGGGCTGGAGTGATATAATTCTGGAAAAACTACTCATGAGCTGTGGGGGTCAGGGTGTGCGGCTTGACATGCCATGTGTTGTCTGGCCGAAGGTTCCAGACGCACTGATGCACCCATGTGTTGTCCAGCCAGAGGTTCGAGACAGACTGCGATGGGGCAGGACAAGGGCATAAAGGAAAGAGTGGTCTGCTATGGGGACTCAGTGTAGGGACTTGGGGGACTCTTCCCCTCTACTCATATCCTCGTGGGCACGAGGAGGACTCCACAATAAAAGTGTTACAAAACTTTAAAGATGCCCTGTAAATACCACCTGAAGGATACAGAGCAATGAGGAGACATTTTTGAGGCATTTATGAAATAGATTTGGATCTCATTGCTTCAACTCTTGACTTGATTGAAGAATGTCTTTTCATGGATACAAGTATGTTCTTTCTTGTTACATAAAGTTTTAAAATGTATTTCAGGGCACTCAGCCACTTCAAGCTAGGGATGTTCAATCTGAGTAGCATACCTGAAGTAGGAAAAGAAAACCTGGAGGCTCACAAAGCAGCTGCAGCCACACCATTTGAAGCAGCCAAACAACCTGAGGATCTCCTAGACTTTGTTCCAGGTTTGGCATCTACAAAAATGCAGCCTCACTATTGGTGCCTTTTTGAACACTTCATGGAACATCATTTCAATTGCCAGGGGAATGTTTTGTGAAGCTCCTGAGGCATCCACAAGAAGAATCTGGAATACAAGCATATGGTACACTTTTGTCTTCTCTGGTTAAAGAAGAGATATCAGCTCTACCACAGAGTGTGTACTACGTTGCAATGCAGAAGGCACACGAGCGATGCTCCCCAACCAATCCCTCTGGGGAACCATTGTCCTATTCCTTCCTCACTGATCGCAGCATCCTCAAGGTATTGCAAACCAATAATTGGTCTGAGAAATCCTACAGCCTGCCTTGTCAGAAAGGATTCTTGCATGATGTAACAGTTCCTTGCATAATATGTGACCTGTAATTTTTTATTTATTTCCCAGGCCATCATAAATCATCTGAGACGACAATGCAACATGAGTGCAATGGAACCTGGTGTGGAAGTGTGCCTGGAGGCCCTGAGCCAGGACTTCCCACGTCCTCTACCCCCTTTGTCCTGGTATGACCTCCTCGTGCCCCTTACCCAGCATTCAATTTCCCTTCTCAAGGCTTCCCTCATCATTGCTATTCGACAGTCCCTTGCCTCTGCTTCTGCCAAGCTCTTCCTCCATGCTTGGATCTCTCCCTCTCCACCCCAAGCTCTTACAGTATGACAACCACCTCTGCCAACTACTCATAATGAACCCTTCACTGATCATCCCAATTATCTTGCACAATTATGTTGTACCTGTGATTATCTCATAGATAGATGTGTCTGAGGTCCTGTTCTCTCTGTTGGGCAAGATTGGATCAGTGATTCCTCCAGCAGATTTTCAACCTTTTGTCATGAGTCAGCTTCAGGTCAGTGTAGTGGAAAGGTGGAATTATATAATTTGAAACAGTCTGAAGGAATTAAAGTTCATACTTGTGCTGTGCAGCTGAAGGACTGCAATCCTGCAATACAGCAATAAAATAACTGCACAGATGCTGGATGCAGAATTCTGTCTAGCAAAGGTCAACTGCATACTAGATTTAATGGAAACCATTCCTATTTTTGACATTGCAGCATTGTTGTGCTTTTAATCAACACAAATCCCCAATTCATGTTTTGTTGAATACCCTGATTGCTCTCTGCCTATGCAAGATAGAAATTATGTGCATGTCAGTTGAAATAGTTATCTGTATTTTATCCTATCATACATTTTTGCTGTTTTCAGGCTTGATCAACACAATGAGATGAGTTATAAATGGGCTAATTTTTCTATTGGTTCATCAAAGCAACTGGCTTTCATGAAAGATTTTAAAATGAACTTTGTGGTTTTGGAGACATAGCTACTGCTCTAGGAAATGGAATTTTCCTATAGCAGCTCTACTAAAAACCCCTTAATTTATTTATTTTCATCTCCTTGTATTCTTGGGTTCTTTGTGTGTGTCTCCTTTTGCTCTTTGCAGTTAATTGACTGCAAATTAGTATGAACACAATGGTTTTTTCAGCAGTGGAACATGCAGTACTGCCAATATCAGTGGTGCATCTGCTGGAAGCAATGTGCAATTTTGCCACCCATCTTCAACAGATTGCTGCTATGCAATATATCCACAAACCAGGATGCTATATAGCACCAGTATGAACTTAGTTTTAAAAGTGAACAGTATATGTATAGTGAATGATGTTAATTGCTCTAAGAGTTTAAGGGTGACATCATGGATGTCATTTGTGGTGCTTGACAATTGAAACGTGATTGAATAATTTTATAGGGCATGAGAGACATGACCATTCTTCTGCAACATGTGCCTGCAGCCCTTCGAGACACTTCCCTTCATGAAAACAATAGAACAATACTAGGGAATGCAATTGAAAGTATTGCTGAAAAGATTGATCTTGGAAATCAAGTGAGTGCATTTGATGATGCTGTAGTGGTAGGGCCTGAAAATATGCTGGGTGACTCAGAAAGCAAAGGATGCCACTGCTTTGCTTTATATAAAACTTTCTAGAGCTTTCTGCTCCATTTATGTACCACTTTATTTATGAGGTGGAAGGATCAAGTTTTGCTGTCATTGGTATATGTCTATGCACTTGGTGTGCTTTTCTTAAGATGGCATCACTATGATCAGAAATCCCCATTGCTTTCCTCCAAAATAGATCATGAGAGCAGCAAAAAATGTAGAATGGAAGGAAATGCTCCAGAAATGAGACACAATCAAGCACTAGTAAACAAACATAGGTTTGAGCTGATCCTTGCCAAGTGTGTTCCTATGTGATAGCAAAATGTCATCCTTCCATATCATGCCCTTACTGCAGTAAACTAGCATGCTCCTTTTCTTAGAATATCCTTGTTATTCAGGCTTTTTGTATTTCGTTTTGTGTCTGTTGCACAGACTCAGCTGAATGCATTCCTTGAGAGTGCGACAGAGCTCCCTGCTGTCCATTTTGAGCGTCTCACAAGCCCAACGAGCTGGTGGGAAGTGACAGGTCCCAAACTCCTTATGGCATCCCGAATCTGTGCTCATGCAACCCTTAAGTCTGCCACCTCAAATTCGGACACAAATCCACTCATCTGGATCAATGGGATCATCGACGCCACTGCCAATCATCCATTGTGTGTCTGGTTACTCTGTGAAGATAGAGCTTTTGTCAATCCATTTCGTGGAGGATGGTATTGGACACCAATGCCAAAGCCTTGTTGGAAAGTGAATAGGGGAAGGAAGTTTACATGAGGAGTTTCTCAGTGTCTGCTCTTCATCTTTTAAGCATTTAAGTCTGAAGTTGGCATTGTGTGTTGATACCGCAACCCTGTACATCTAAAGGAACTTGAAGAGTGAAGATTGATTGCCTTCTATTTTTTTTTCTGTCTGTAACATTCCCTAAGATCAGTTTGCTTGGGTATTGAAGAGAACCAGGGTGCAGGATGAAGAGCTTAATTTGTATCTTTAGGCAGCAGAAGGAAGTGTGGAAGATATTGAAGGCTGGGATGGAAGGAGTGAAGAAGGCCAGGGAACAGGCTGACTGGATCCGAGAACTCATGGGCCGCATCTCCACTCTCTCGACTGCCTTTCAGTCTCTGGAACAGGAGCCCTTCATTGTCATCCAAGTGCGTACCATACAGGCCTCATGTGTCTTCTCTCATCTTGCATTCTCCTTGCCTGTGCATTTGTTGAAGCTTTTTTCATTCAATGAAAGGTTATTGGCTTCTACATGGAGATCCTGGCAAATGCCCTGCTGACATTTGCTCACTGGCCAATCCCAGAGAGCGTTGAGGATCGCTTTCTTCTTTGCCCTGCTGCCCTGGCCATTCTCTTGGAATCCCACGCATGGAGAGACTCAATCTCTGCAGTAAGCACAAAGACATGTGTTGAGTGGTAACTATTCAACTGCTCATTGGTTTACAGCTATAGAATCCCTCCACAGATTACTGGTTGGGTGCTGCAAATGATGGATTCTTGCCATGTGTCCCAAGCACAGAAAACAGGATTGATGCGCATGCTTCTTGTATCCAGGCATGGATCTCACTTCTGCAAGACTTCTGTTTGGAACAAAGCTGTTCCCTTGCTCTCGGAATAAATTATTTCATTTACTGTGCACATTTCGATATTCCTTTAGCTTATTTTGGTGCAGAGTGCAGGAGGTTGCAGACTCAATATTGTGTTGTAGTTACTGTGTTACATGCACAGTACATCTCCAAACAGTACCATCCTTTTAACAATACATTTTTCCCCTGAGCACTCCATCTATTCAAGGAATTATTATTAGAAAGTGTGAAATTCTGCAGTAAATTGGTTAGCTTGCAAGTTACCAAAACCATTGAACTACCATCGGCAGACAGTTTTGTTCCCAAGATGTCATATGCTGACCGTGTACAAGGTGACTCAATTGTAGAGGTGAATTGTGAAGGAAGAAAAGCATCACCGGTGCTAATTGACGGAATGCAGGGTAAATGACCCTACCGACGACGTAAAACAGTGGCACTGATCCAGAAGGCACACTGCAAATAGGGATAAACACCATATTAACACTCCACCCTAGGATGGTGCTCGTTGAGCCATGCAACGAAAACGGCAAGAACTCTTGAGGCCACAATGCGCGCTTAGCTTCGAGAAGTCACCGTCCGGCAACGCCTTTGCTCCCGGGAAACTCTGCGACGTCCAGTGCAGAAAGTCCTACGCACATGCTCCATGACTAATATTCTGGAGCGTGAATCACGCGCAGTAAAAGAGTGGAAATGCCTCTTTAGAGTGTCTGATCGTGGAAATTTGAAGTCGTCGGGTGGGCGAACGAGAGAATCGGGGCGGATAAAGGGTCTGCCGGGCTTTTTCCAGCCGATAGTGGATCATTTGCAGCGGTGTCCCCGAAGCTCTTTTCACCCGATGGAAATATGGTGGCTCCCCGGCAGTGGCGACTCGTGGGTAAAAAAAATTGGTAGGTAGCAGTGGTGCAAAAAAAAAAAAAAGTGGGAGGGGGGGGCGGTCATCCCCCAATGATTCCTTTGTACCCATATGCAGGGCCGCCCTGAGGGGGGGGGAGGGCAAATGGGGCAATCTGCCCCGGGCTCCACGTATCAAGGGGTCCCAAGGGGGGCCTCCAAAGGGCCTAAAGGGGTCTCTGGTTTAGTTTTGCCCCGGGCCCCTGGAAACCTCTGGGCGGCCCTGCACATATGATCCCCATTTCTATCCCTGTTGACCAATGGCGCGTCCTCCTATGATAGTAGCAGGCACATTCGCTCCTCTCTCAACCTCGCTCAGCATCTCCTCCCCCACCTACCTCTCCAGTCTCTTCTGCAGGTCAGCCCACACCCCTTGGCTGCAGACTTGACATAAGCTTAGGATTTTTGCTTTAAAAAATTGTAAATCCAATTCTAACAAAATCAGAACTATCCATCATGGGAATTACTTGCATCTAAAAGGAAAAGTGACGAGGATTTAAACCTTCAATGAATGCAACTATATCATTGGAAGACACCCCAGAGGTGCGAAGCACTGTCAGTCTAACAACACATCACTTGGAAACAGTGCCTCTTCCAGAGAATACGGGGTAGGAATAGGGAACTGAGACTGACAGAAGCCTGTTCGGAATGATTCCTTATTCAGTCTGCATAATACAGGGTGTTTCAAAAGTCCGTACTCATGGGTATTTTGAATTAATTAAATTTCTCAATGAATGAGTGCACCAAAATTAGTACAGAAGTACTAAGAAATATTCAGAGGGGGTTATGTGCCAGGATTGATATGTGTATGCAAGTTCATGGCATGCCATTTGAACATTTAATGAAATAAAGGTAAATTAGGAAATCTGCATATGAGTCCGGACTTTTGAAACACCCTGTACTGTAGCATAGGTCTGATCCACTGAGCTAAGTGGTCTGATCAGGTGTGACAACCACAGAGGCTTCTACAAGCACGTGCTTCGGAGCAGAGGGCGTGAGCAAGCGATTCTCAACCTTCCTTCCTACGCAAGGAGTAACTGCGCACCGTAGGCAAGCCGACCCTCACTCATTCCTGTGTTGTGATTCTCTTCCCTTTCTCCTTCCTCTCGTTCCTGCATCGGACTCGTGGGAATTCGAGCCTAGCCAGCGAAGGCGGGCAGCGCCGTGCCTACTCTCGCATAATCTCGTTTTGCTTTTACCTTGCAATGGAAAATAAAGTATTTCCAGCTGTGCTAATCGAAAGATTAATTAACAAATATTAATTTGAGAACTCTGATTTTGAACTGGGTAGGCACTGCCCACCCTGCCTACCCTGACGAGCCGCCTCTGCTCCCCGAATCCCATGGAGCCGAGGCGGATACCGGCGGCTTCTCACCCTCTCTCGTCTGGGAGGAAACCTCTCCATTGCGTCGCGTCTTCGATCGTAAGCGAAGAGATGCAAACGTCTTACAGTGCTTTGGCGATGAGTTCACGCACCCTCAAAAGAGTGGTGCTGTGTTTCCACTCGAGGGGCATCTACTGAATATCAGTTCATGTCGTAAGGCCAGAGGAAGCGTTATTTCCGTAAAGCCCGCCGCACACGAGGCAATTTTTGTCGTGTGACCGTCGTGCGA